CGTACAGCGATAGCGAGACGCGATCCAAGGTGCGCGCCAAACTAAGATCGTAGTGCCATCTGAGAGGCACATCGCACTCCCAACTAAGAGCTTAGTGCCATCTTAGCGGCATCACCCAGGACGCCGACGCCGCTTGCCGACAACATCACGTTCGAAACGGAATCGCCCATAGGGAGTACAGTGATAGAAGACACTTTGAAGAGCAAAGCAGACCGTGATTCGTCGTCGCTGCAGGCCTACGACGCATACAATGCTCAAACACAGATGTAAATTGCTTTTAAAACGTAGAAAACGCAATTGACCGTATTGACACGCAGTAGGCGTCGTCTTCTGCACTTGTAGCGACGGTCTCCCCATCTGGCGCCGAGAATGAGTCGCATCTCGCCGCTTTCGGTGTTGGCCAACGGCATGCGGCAGTTTCTCGACACGATTGTGCCGACGCTCATGGCCAAGTGCGATGCGTTTGGTCGTGCACCGCCACGACGACGCCACGGTATCGTCCGAGGCTACCCAACGTGCGGTGGGTCGCCGCTCATGCTTTGCGGTCCAGGATGAATGTCCGTTGATTCTCGATGACTACCAAGGCGACGACGGGCGAGACGTTTGGTGACCGCATGTCTCTGCCGTCCTCAAGAACTATTGTATCGCTGCCCACCAGCAGCTTCTGGTCACTCTGCGCCTCAAGAGTGCGATGAATCTGTCCCACCCAAACGCCTGCCAAGGATCCTGGTCCGTCATGAAGCGCCTCTGCGACCGCCTTCGCCTCCTTTTCGAGCCGTACGAGATTGCAATTCTCCCGACCCTCCTCACGTCATGTGCAGACACAATCGCAGCGGCGCTCATGGCTGCCAACGGCACGTCCAAGGCCATCATGAAAAGTGGTGCAAGGAGTTTGGCGGCTTTTACATTTTGAATCTGACGTCGGGGGTCCAAGAGGTGCTTGTCGCCAACGTTTCAGACAAATCGTCCGCGTTCACGAGCATCCCGATGACGTACACGCAGCCCGTCTTTAGCCTCGAGCC